ACTAAATGACTTAAAAGTGGCATGTGGACTAAGTAAGCAAAAATTAAGAGGCAAGATAATATTTAGGGAAGGCAGCTTACTATAACAGATACAAATGTCAGCTTTGGGAAGTACCACACTTTCACCTAGCGTTCATGAAAAATGCTAAAGATCTATTAAAAATATGACATGATAGTTAAGAGCATGAGCTATGGAATTAAATAATGGGTTTTCTTTTCTTTTCTTTTTTGGCAGTACTTGGGTTTGAACTCAGAGCCTCCCACTTGTTAGGCAGGCATGTTACCACTTTAGCTATGTCCCCAGCCCTTTTTTCTTTGGTTATTTTTTAAATAGGGTGTCCTGTTTTTGCTCCCCCGGCCTGGAACGTGATCCTTCTATTTATGTATGCCTGTTGCATAGCTGGCGTGACAGGTGTGTGCTACTATGTTCAGCTTACTGGTTTAGAAGGGGTCTTGCTAGCTTTTGCCTGGGCTGTCTTCCAGCTGTGATCTTCCAGATCTTCCCTCCTGAATAGCAGGAATTTACAGGTGTGAGACACTACTCCTGGCGAAACTGATGCATTTTAAAGCTCAGCTGCTGAATAGCTAATCTTGGGCAAGGTACTTACCATTTCTTAATTTCAGTGTACTTACTTGTAAAATGTGGACAATAGGGTTGTATAAGGTGTGCATTAAGCAGGATCATCCATTTACAGAGAGATAGAAGAGAGAAAAGTCTTAAGTTATATAGCCTTTTCTAGCTGCAGCAGCAGCAGTAGAAGAGAAGATGTAAAAAAAAATTCATGATAAATTGGGATTAAATTCCTGACTGTGACCTCATTAGCATCATATTTATACCTGTAAGACCTTAAATGGAACATCACCAGTCTTTTAGGTTCCCTCACTCTATTCCCACCAGATTCACCTTGGACCACATTGAGCCCTCTTGCCTTTTTCCTTTTTTCCCCAGTCCATGAGGTTCTCCAAGCCTCACTTTGCCCTTCTTTCCCTTCTGTAATGCATTTCCATGCTGAAATCAAAGTGACTTATCTAAACTATTAGTCCTACAGTGTTGCTACTCTGGCAGCTATTCAGGATCATGGTTTGGCATTGGCTTTTAGCAGGAAACATCAAAACATGATGAAGATTGCTGATAATTAAACTGACTTGTCTTGTGAGGAAAAGGGAGAAATAGTGAATTGTTTGCTTCTTTCTAGACCCTTTGGGCTAGATGCCAATGTTTCCATTTGAGGATTATGCACTTGGCCATGTCAGAGACTGTTGATAAAGCATCTACTGTGATGCCAAGAACTCAGCAAGTGCTTCTCATCACAGTGTAATTGATGATGCAGCCCAGTGGTTGAGCAATCTGTTGGTTTAATATTCTTCACCCATAGTGTAGGTTAACTGAAAGATCTGTAATTCAGAGTTAGGAGAACTTTGTTACTAGCTGTTTGTAGTGTGCATATCCCTGTCCCACTCTTTGAGCTTCAAATTTCTCATCTGTAATGATATTGAATTGGATAATCTCAGTTTTCCCTTGAGTCCTAAAAATACATATTTTTTTGCACCATCTGAGTAACTGAGATTTTTAAAATTTTATTTTATTTTGTTATTGTGGTACTGGGGGTACATTGTGACATTTACAAAAGTTCTTACAATATTTATAGTTGAATTCACCCCCTCCATCATTCTTTATCCCCCCTTCTCCTGTTCTTGGAATAGTTTCAACAGATCTCATTTTCCATTTACATATATGTGTACATAATATTTCCACCATATTCACCTCCTACACCCTTTCCTTAGATCCTCCCCCCTCCTACTGGTACCAACACCCTAGACAGAACCTGTTTTGCTTTCCTGTTCTCCATTTTTGTAAAAAAAAAAAAAAAAAAAAAAAGACGTTTTTGTTTGTTTAAGATAGCTATCCAGGGAGTTTTCTTGTGACATTTCCATGTATGTATCTATTATAACCTGAATTGGTTCATCTCCTCTATTTTTCGCCTTTCTACCATAGTCCCCTTCTTAGGGTGATTTCAACAGGTTTAAAAGCTCTACATTCACTCTTGTACAAGAAGTATATCAACCATATTCACCTTCTTAACTTCTTTCTTTTACCCTTTCCCTCTCGTTATATGAGCTCTCCTTAGCATGACCTGTTTTTCATGTTATTGCTGTATTTGAATTGGGCCTGTATTCCACATATAAGAGAAAACATGCAGCCTTTGGCTTTCTGAACCTGGCTAACTTCACTTAAGATGATGTTGGGACTGAGATTATATACACGTGTTGTTCTCCATACAGCAGTCTGTCTTCAGTAGAACGGAATGGGAGGATAAGAAAGATCAATGTAATTAAGTAGCTAGCATAAAAATCAAATTGACAATGTTGACCATTTTAGCACAACAGCCCCAATATATGAGAAAATTAACAATTTTAACCCTATTTTTATCAGTTTAATTTTTGGCATCCTTACATCCTAAAGTGCTGGAAGATACTGACTTTTAAATTAAGGTGAATTAAAGTTTTATTTTGTAAAAGTATGCATTAAGGTATGTTGATACACCCCAGGATATTGTCATGCTCATCTTTTGAGAATCAGTGGGACCTGTGGTTGGCTTGACCTTGTTTCTTTGAAAGCCTGTATATATACATGTGCTTCAGTTATTATAAGGAGAAGGTTCTCAGTTTTACCCTAAGAATTGCTTCAATTATTTATCTCTGTGAATTCCAGGCTATAAGTAATTTTTACCATTGTACTGTATTAATAGTTTATTTCTTGTACTTTACTAAGCAGGAAATTACATATATAACTGCTTGTTTCAGCTTTTTGATCAGCCTGGTATACAACATAATCTCTCGTTATTATAATACTAGATAAAAGGAAATATATGTGATATTTGAATTAGCTTTATCTTAGGTAAATATTGAATTTCTATTATGAATTTTGCAACATCAAATCTCCTCAAAACTTCCAGATATTTAAAGAGCTTCCTAGTCATCTACAGACTATAGTTGAAGACCTTAATCACTATACTAAAAATAATCAACCAAGAAATACTAGTAATAATGATCAATATTGCTGATATCTACTGGGAAATTACTATTCACCAGGACTATATATATTTTACACATTGTATGCATTTGATTTCTCTTTGATCCTGAGACATGGAGAGGAAATACTTTACACAGGTCACACAACTAGGAAATAGTAGAATTTGAGCCAAGGGATGTTTAGGTGAATGAGAGTGAGGGACACTGCCCTCAGCCCAGCAGTGAGCAATGAAAGTGTGTTAATATGTGAATTTGAAGGAGACTGAGATCTCTTGAAGGAGACAGTCTCACTAAATTGAATCAGAAGTTAACCTTTAATTGTTGGAATAGAACTGGGGTGCACAGAAATGTTAGTTGTCCTAAGATGGGACTGGAGGTAAGGCACTGAACTTTCTTCTACAGGGTGTACCTAAGTTTACACTTTTAATTAAGGGTTCTACAAAGACTGAAAGTTAGGCAACCCAATGAATTCCATCCACCTAACATGTTTGTTTTGCAGATTGTAAGGGCAGTGGGATCATTTAAAAACAGAGAATAGAGGCAAGAGGGAAGGGGAAATGGTCCCACTAAATTTTTCATATAGGAAATGAAGAAAAAAGTTCATTTTTAGATAATAACCAATGCTCTAGAGTTTCTGGGTCTTTAAACCTAAGTGAATTAGGAATCTGTGGTAATTTTATACCTCAGACTGTCCTAAGACCCAGGATATTTGGATTCCAGGATTTGAACACCAATGATTTTAAGACAATAAAATGCTAAACAGAGTAGGGGACCAAAATCCTCCAGGATTTGAAGGGTAAAGCTCCAGAGATGGCAAGCACTAATGCCCCTTGCACTCCAAGTCAATCATAATTACTGCCCCTAGGACAGTAGAAATGGGCTTCAGGGTAGGAGGGACACCAGGAGAAAGGGGAAAGCCACCTGTGCTAGCACTGTGGGCCTCTCTCCCTAGCTTTAATTGGACTAGGTCCCATTTTATTTTTTTTATGTATTGAGAGTTCCTGCATATGATTTCATTTGGTGATGGCCTTCCAAGCAAGATTAAAAGAAGAAAAGGAAAAAATGCAAAAACATTGCCCTAGAGGGAAAAAAGGGATGTGGAATGTGTACAAAATGTTCCAATAGATTGTTCTTAACCGTTGTCCTTTAAAAAATAAAGGCAGATGCTAGCAAGGATGGTTTGGTTGAGAGAACAGTTCAGTGAACCGGTCATCTACTGTGAAACTGACTACAGCAGCAGCAATGAATAACAATCCTTACTTAAGATTGTGCCATTTCATTTGCTTTGTGGAAATCCAATAAGATATGCACTGCTGTTATCTCATTTTCTAGATACTGTCACTCTTTTACATCTGAAGGAGTTACACAAGTGGCCTAAATACATAGGAATAAACAAAATAAAGACATTTAAAAATCATATTTTGCAATGAGATTTAAGTAGTTGCTCAAGGCTTATTGCAGTTGAAATACACACCAGTTTGAGATGATCTGTTCCTTTGAACTCAGAAGGACAAATCACATACTGGCCCCTGAAATCAGGAATGTTTGGTAGCTTATTCCAAGAAGAAAGTATTTTATGCAGATTTAAGGAGAAGAATTATTTTCTTCACAGAAAAGAGAGATCTTCATTGCAATTGCATGCTTGCTTAAAAATATTTTTTAATATGTTCATTCAACAAATATTTATTGGACCTCAGCTACATGCTCTGAACATAGAAATATAAGGCATACAATATCAAGAGAATAGTTTGTTTTACATAAACCTCCAAGTCTAAGAAACTTTGAGAATTACCAAATCCTGCTTCAGGTGTCACATAGAGATTGTGATTTTTTTCAGCCTATATATCTTTAAACCTAAGCAGTATGCTGAGAGCAGTAGAATTGTTGATTATGGATCATAGAATTAAAGTACCCCATTTTCTACACTTTACAGTTAAGAGAACAAGATGGATTTAGATTTTAAACGGTATGACTGTGGGCAGGTTATTTAACCTCGCCAAGCTCAGGTTCCTGATTTATAACATGAGGACAATAAACCTGCCTTATATAGAAAAATGGTAATGATTACATAAAATAAATAAAGTTCTTAGAACAATTCCTGAACACCCAACGTACGCAGTACAGTTTTACTGTTACTGTGATCACTATTTGCCTTGTGAAGGGAGACTAGGTCCACATTACTCAGGTTGTTGATGATAGGGCAAATATTGGAACTCAGATCTCTACTAATAGTCAAATATTCCTTACACTGTGTTATCTATTTTATTTCCTGGGAGCAGGTAATATACATTTCCTAGACCTGCAAGAAATATATTGGCTCATCCGGGGAGAATTACAAGGCAATGGCTGACATGAGAAGAATTTCTGGTCTCAGAAAACAAAACAGCAAGGAATAAATCCAGTAAGGGAGAGACAACAATTACCGAAAAGTTTACATCGTGATGTGGAAGCATCACAAAGCCTAGTAAATCACAGGACTGATTTCTCTAATTACTTTATTTACCACAAGTGTAATTGATTTTTTTCTTTTTCTTAGAGTTGAGGGTGGGGGTTTTCAGAATGCAGGTGTGAGTCACAGAAAATTACTGTGAATTCAGCTGCACTACACAATTTCTCTTTTCAAAGTAAGGGAACACTGTAACTGAAGTTAGAATGGAAGCATAAGTACTACCAAGTCTTAAGGAATGATAGATTTCAAAAGGAAATTTGGCTAGTGATGCCTCATAGAACTCATTGAGAAATTTAGCAAAAAGAAAAAGAATTAGCTCCTTAGTAAAGCCATATTGTTATTGCTTTGCATAGTTGTGATTGGTTTGTTAGATGAAGATATTCTTAAGAATTAGAAATATATGAAAAAGAACTATGTCCTATGCTGAAAGTGAAGGTTAATTTACAGTTGCCTAAGTCAAAAATGATATATCCTTTACTAAACTACACTTCAGTTTAATCAGAGGCCTACAATGTTCATTGTTGCAAGATCCAAAGAATTTTCACAATATTCCAGGAGTTTCCTAAGAGGAGCAAAGCCATTTTGCTTACTTCATTAATGCATGCTACATGGCTCAGGAATTGGTGCCAGAAAGTTTGACTGGAGTTCTTAGTCTACCACAAGGGATAAGTCGTGATTGTTTCTGGTGCTGATTACTATATAAAGCAATTGTTCCAGTATTATGCACTTAGAAATTTGTTAAGAGGGTAGATATCATGTAAAGCATTCTTACCACAATAACGACTTTTTAAAAATTTGATCCCGTTTTACTTCATCCTTAAATCTTGATTTTGCTAATGTTTCACTCTTAAAAATATTTACTTTTTTTCCAAGTAAAATATATTGGTAACATCTTGATTGCTTATTCATTGAATGATTTTTCACTATTACAGGGCATCAGGTACTGTATATACAGCACTAGACATTGCAACAGGACAAGAGGTAAGTACTACCATTCAATTCTTACGATTTTCCTTTATATTTATTGGGTTTGCTTTTGATGGCATTGATGCCTTTGAAAATTGGGTAGCACTAGGTGAGATGGAAGTTTACTTCACTGGTGTCCAACGCATCTGAAGTGGATAGTTTACTCATGATCAAAGGAAAAGGACATTGTAGTACAGAATTTGTGAATGACTTGCTCTATGTCTCCTTCCCCCCAAAATATTGATATTCATGTTTGTTGTAATAATTGTAATTCATTCTTGAATTTTAACCATCATTCAGGTAGCCATAAAGCAGATGAACCTTCAACAGCAACCCAAAAAGGAATTAATTATTAATGAAATTTTGGTCATGAGGGAAAATAAGAACCCCAATATTGTTAATTATTTAGATAGGTAAGTGTTTTCTGTCATTATGTACCTATTTTCTTTATGTGATGACATTTCCTTGGCAAATTATTTCATTAGGGATGTATTCATTTAATAGTCATTCTACAAATATTTCTTAAATGCTACAAAGTAGTAGAATATGAGACCCATGGCTAAACTTAAATCCATATGTCTTTGTCAACCCATCAAATAGTTGAAGAAATGTTTTATGGGCTTGGCTCTAAATATAAACACTTCATGTAATTTCCTTTTGAGGACTGTGGCTCCATGTTCGCAGAAAATGGACATATAGGAGAGAGATGTGGGGTTTTAAGCATTTCATCAGGCCTGTTTGGAGCCTGTATGATCTCTGAAAGGCTAAATGAAGAAGGCTGACTACAATGGCCCTGCTTTAATGAGGGCTTTCTGATTAACTGACAGCAAAGTCTAGGGAATTGAGACTTTAATCTTAAACCTTTTCTCTAAATCAGGTAATTAATGTCTCTTTCATCAGTGCTATTAGCAGTGTGTTCTAAATAGGCCTTTAAAGACAGTGCTAACTCTTCTCCTGTGGTTAACATTTGTCCCAGTTTCAACAAGTGTTTGTTTAGCACCACTGTGCTGTTTTCTCTGGGGGGGTTCCAAAGGAAATAAAGCTATGCCTTCAACCTCTGAGAATTGAAGATCTTGCTGTCTGTGTTTTAGGTCTACAGACGAGTGATACAAAGGAGGAAAAATGGGAAGGAAGAAAAGATAGTTGAGTGTTAGAGTATTATTCAGTTTCCTTAAGTGTCCTTTAGGATCTTCCTGCAGCAGAGTGGTTATTCTCCATAACTAATGAAATGGAGCTTGTGAATTCTCATTTTTAACATGCTTTACAGGTGGATCTTGCTGGCTCTGTAGTTTGAGCATCACTGGAGAGACAGCCTTGCTTCACAGTGATGGGGCCTTGAGGCAGGGACAATCATCAAGGGTCTAGAATTCCTTTCTCTTGCTGACCAGGGAGCCAGGGAGGCCTGGTAATGTTGCTGAATTGCTTTCAGATGATCCCAGGTGATTTGAATAACTTCATGCTCTTTGCCTGAATTGTAGGACTCCTTGGTTCACATATTTTATCACTTGTGGTATGTTCCTCATCAACTAAATTGAAGTCACAATTGACTTCTACCAGAACTGAGATCTAGGAATATTAGAGTCTCCATTTCCTTAGTCCCAAGTCCAAGTCTTTTGCTTTTCTTCTTGTAGCTACTTAGTGGGTGATGAACTATGGGTAGTCATGGAATATTTGGCTGGTGGCTCTTTGACTGACGTGGTGACTGAGACTTGTATGGATGAAGGACAGATAGCAGCTGTCTGCAGAGAGGTAAGAAAATGGAACATTTCTTGTTGATGACGACACCAAAACAATCCATTTTTCTTTCTGCTTATTTAGAATTTTTATAACACCAAAATAACAATAGCATAATTTTCCTACTGAGAAAACAATTGGAGAGCCTAACTTCAATTTAAATTATCACCTAATCATGTTCCCTTGGACCATCCTCCCTAGCCCCTTGTTTATTTGAGTTGCTTTTCTGTGGCTCCTTTGAGCTCCATTGTGCCATTCAGGAAGTTCCATATCTAAGCTCACATGCTGTAGTGTCAGTGAGTGTGGAAAATATTGATGGTCACATGGAACTTCTTTCTGATTTGGTGGAATTTTTAAAATAGTTACTTTGTTCTACATGTGCAATGCGAACATGTAAAATACCATATTATATTCCCATCACTTTCTAGAAGGCAACTTAAACGAGGTCTTCCCCCAGCCCAGAAAGCAGTTGCTTCCGCAGTATAATGAGAATATCCCTCATGACCCTCCAGTGGGCCAGAGGGTCCGCCTCTCATAAGAAAAGAGACAGCGGCTAATGCAGCTAGTTTCAAGCTAAATTAAAGATATTTTATTTATTTATTTTGTTCAATATTTGTTAAAACACACACTCTTCATTGGAGTCCCATGTTAAGCCTTATTATCTACTTCATTCATTGTGGTAGAAACTGAGACTCACTGAAACTTTTAAAAACCAATAATAGAGAAACAAAACTAAATGATAGCAGCTAATCTTTGCACTGTATGTGAGGTCTTTCTTTTGAATTTCCTGTTTCATTGCTCTCCTCCATTCTCACCCCCACCACCGCCACTGCAAACATGCACACAGAGCAACCAAACCAAGTTTTGTATTCATGCAATAAATCAAACTCACAGTCACTCAGGGAAATATTCTACCCTGAGTCTGTGGTTTCCATCTTTTAGTATTACAATACAAAGACATTTCCAAACAAGTACCTGTGGTTACTTCATAGCCTAGGAGCCACTCCCAAACTGGGCTGGCATTTGGAAATAGCTTTAGGGAACTTGTTTTGAATGCACAGGCCTAGGTCCCTCTGCAGATTTATGAATCAAATCCATAGCACATACACTGAGGGTTTACAGCATCTGTATAGGACTGCGCTGATCCTCTGGGTAACTAGGCCAGAGTAGGATTATATTGATTGATCACTTTAACTGTATTAATAACCAGTGCTACGTATCATGTCATCACTCTTCATGACCTAGTCTGACATAGGATCCATCAAATATATAAGACTAAGTAAAATCACTGATGTAATTAGTAATTTGGTTTTAAAGAATTCAGTAATCTATTTTACTTGACAACATTAAATTATACCCTTTCCCAAAAATTTGTCTGGAAATGAAACTTAGAATTTTAAACCATTCTTTGTCATATAATTATAACTTTTTTCTGATTCAATAGTGCCTCCAAGCTTTGGATTTCTTGCACTCAAACCAAGTGATCCACAGAGACATAAAAAGTGATAATATTCTCCTCGGGATGGATGGTTCTGTTAAATTGAGTAGGTATTTCCATTCAGGTGATGTTTGAGAAAATACGGGGAATTTTTGCTCTTTTATTGTCTATCTTGGAAGATAATGGCTACTGAAAGTGATTTGTTTGAAAGCACTTAGAACCCAATGCAATTAAAGAATCTAATTGGAATAATCTGTTCCTGATGATCATGACCAGATTTTTTTTATTTAATATTTCAGACTTTCTAGTGACTTCTAGAATGGATGGATGGCAAAGACTTCATTAGAAATCCGAAAGATTCTATATGTTTAGGAAAAAGCACTGGGGAGGGAACCATACTGAAGTCTAGTACAAATGAGATTAGTTATTATTTCAGATCCCATTAAAATCAGGACCAGCAAATTGCTTCTCAGCCTTTTGGCTAAAATCAAATGTAATAAAAGCAGGACCAACTGAGAGATCAGGTAACAACAGGATATGAACTTGGCACTTGGGGAAGCTCAGATTCTAACAAAGGAAGGTTCAGCCATATTTGAAAGCAACCTATTTTTAAAAGAAAATAATTTGGGTTTATTTTAATTGACTTTTCTTCTCTACAGCTGATTTTGGGTTCTGTGCCCAGATCACTCCTGAACAAAGTAAACGAAGCACTATGGTGGGAACTCCCTATTGGATGGCTCCTGAGGTGGTGACTCGAAAAGCTTATGGTCCGAAAGTTGATATCTGGTCTCTGGGAATTATGGCAATTGAAATGGTTGAAGGTGAACCCCCTTACCTTAATGAAAATCCACTCAGGGTAAGTCATAGATCAATTCAGGTACTCGATCCCCAGGAAAGAAGACCAAATATCATTTCTTGATTTCATCAAGAGTGACCAGAATAGGTTCTTTTCTGGGAATGACATAGAATCAGCTAGTTATAATTTTAAAATTAATAGGCGTAGAGGCATATCCAAGTGGTAGAGTACCGTCCAAGCAAATGTAAGGCCCCTGAATTCAAACCCCAGTACTGACCCCCAAATGAAATATCCTTCCTTTCTTTCTTCCTTTCTTCCTTCCTTTCTTTCTTCTTTCCTTCCTTCCTTCGCCAGCCATGGTGGCTCAGGTCAGTGATCAATAAGGTAAATTGGGGCTTGAAGCCAGCCCAGGCAAAAAGTGAGACCCATCTTAACAAATAAGCCAGGCATGGTGGTATATGTCTATAATACCAGCTATATGGTAGGAATAGGTAGGAAAAGTCTGAGGCTGGCCCTGGGCAAAAACTTGAGGCACTCTCTGAAAAAATAACTAACATAAAAAAGGGCTGGAGGTATGGCTCAAGTAATTGAACACCTGCCTAACAAATGTGAAGCCCTGAGTTCAAAATTCCAGTACCACCAATTAATAAGTAAAATAAATTACTGTGAGCTTTTAAAAGTTTTTCTTACGATGTCTTAACATTTTTCTAATGTGCTTTTATCTCAGTATTTCTAATGACCAGAGCCTTTAAAATTATTTAGTATATAGCTTTCTACCAGAAAAAAATAATAGAAATGGAGGGAAGAGAAGATGTGGGAAAGAAAAGGGTATTTTTATCCCAGGCCATGGTTAAATGATCTAGCTAGGAAACACTTGCTTCATTATTACTTTGACAAAGTAAATAGATACATTTCCAGGACAGTTACAATTTTTAAATTGGATTTTCCTTCGTTATCAGTAATGATTTATTGAGCAACAACAGCCTCGTGGGTATTGAATGGAACACAGAGATAGATGCAGCACCAGCCTGGTGAAATCACAAACTTAATTAGAAGACTGTCAAGTAGAAAATGAATGGAAATAGTGCAGGTTGGGTAACTCAGTTTGCAATTGCAAAATCAGAGGTTTGCTCCTCATATGGTCCAGTGACCTCTACAAAGACAAAAGCTCCATTTCGTTGCCTAATCCCACCACCTTTATTCAGATATGTGCTTTTGATTATGAAGGAAAATGGGCAAAGAGTATGAAAGAAATGTTTTCTCAGTGCAGAAGCAATCCAGAAGCTCTTTTGTCATATACAACCTAACAGTGAGTCAGAAGCTAGGTTTCATATACATGAAGGACAAGACATTGTTAACAAAAAGAAATACACACAGATTCAAAATCTACATTCAAAAGTCATGCACAATATCAGTGTAAAAGGCATTTTGCTTCCCATTAGACTCTAAAATTGAATTTTATCCTTGTTTTGGAAAAAATGCCCTTATTAAGCAGTTAAGCATGTTCAGATTAAGCTTGCAAAATCCATATTCAAGCCAAATATTTGTGGCTTTCTGTAAAAAAAACCTATAAACTAATTGTCTAGTGTTTTTGCAGTTGAACATTTTGTAATTGGGAGCCATGTTCCCTATGGATGGAGAGGGATCAGCCTTCTCCCCAGCCCCATCTAATTCCTCTGTGGTACTTGGCCTCTCATCCCAGACAGTGCACTGATTAGAAAACAACAGATCGGAGGGAATGCCCTAATGAACGCTATGGGCTGTTGCGCTGGCCTCATGAAACAATTGGGAAGTGAGAATGTACACATTGATTAGCTGCCTGGAGGGCTGAGTGGAAAAGAAGCGGCATTTTCCCACCATTTGTGGGTCAGCCCTTCATGAACTTAATCAAGTGCACCCCTAACCTATGGACCAATGCATCAAGATAATTACATAAGCTTTTCCTTATTGTTTAACTACTTTGCCCATTAAGAAATAGCAGTGAAAAAAAAACCGCATCAGGCTTGTTGTTTCCATGGATTTCCTTTCTTTGGAGTTTGGAGGCACTAAACAGATTATGGCCAGTTTGTGTTCTGCCTTCTAATGAGTAATTTACAACCTGCAGAATTTAAGGATTAAATAAATGGCTCAGTAAAGCAACTGGTGTCAGTAAGGCATTTATTACATTCTTCTGTCCTCCAATTATAATTGATCACTCCTTAGCTAGGCTGCTAATTGTTAGAGAAAAGGAAGTTATAATCTATACAGGCATCTTCTAGCTTGAGATTAGAACTCATAATTAACAGCTTGTCTCTTAGAATCCATAGCCTTATATCTAAACAAGTACTTGCAGATCACAAACCACAAGGTTCAGGAAGCCTACATGAGGCCATGATAAAAAGACCCGTCAGAAGGACCACCCCATTGAATTTCACTGATAAGGATTTATTCATTCTAACTTTTGGTCATTACTTTCCTTGTGTGATCAGACTCCAATTAATCAAGTCCACATTGAGCCAGCTCTATTCTGAGCCTATCTCTCCTAGACAACAGAAATAATTTTTAAATTTTGATTTCCTATATGCTGGCTTTCTGTTCTCTTAAAGAAAACACAGTGGCTCCGGCTAGATGCCCTTATTTGAGATTTGAAAAGTGTAGTCATTGAAACCATGGGGAGATTGGAGAGAAAAAGCTAGAACATGAGCCTGAAGGGAGCCTACAATTTCTTGGATCCTGGTGACCAGGCCATATGTGGTAAAATAGAAAATCATCCAGAGTTTTAGGAGAGGTCTGAAAGAGTACTAGATTAGTCCTTCTTTCTTTAGAATACTTCCACCACCCATCTACCATTTTTACGTAGAAAGAAGTGGAAAGAAGGAAGCAAAATAAGTGAAAGGAAGACACAGTGGAAAAATGGAGGATGGCATGCGCTGGTGAAAACAAAACGGTTCTTTCAATAGTCAGGCAGATCTGGGTCTACAACCTACAAGTTCTGTGATGTACTCTAAGTCACCTGAAACCTTTCTAAGACTGTTTCCATTCTATAAAATAGGGAAAATATCTTTCTTTCTGGGTTGGTATGCAAACAAAATGAACAGTATGTGTAAAATCACATAGTACAGTGTCTTGCTCCTTGTAGAAAAAGTATATTAAACTCATATGAGTGGAAAAGTAAGGAAGGAAAAAGAGAGAAAAGAGGCTTAGAGTACATATACACACTCATGAAGGGAGATTAGATTTGACACTCTCCCAAGAACTTTCCCTCCACACTGGCTGAATCCCTACCTCCCTAAGGAGTGGAGGGTTTGTTCAGTTCAGCAAATTACCATAAATAGGCAACACTGAACAGGAGAGGTTCAAGGTGAAGTCTCAGGCTATACATTTCAAAGTTGTTTGCATCTCACTGTGGCTTCTTTCTGCCTTTGTTATGTCAGTTTCAACCAGGCAACCCTTCTTTGATTATTGCCTGTTAACATATATTTGATGCAAGGAATTGGCTACTTCTTCCACCAGTTATAGAAAAGGTTGGGATTTTTAAATGTAAATTACTCTGCAGTAGTTAACCTAATTTGTTTATAAAATGCCTTTTAAAGGTCAGAGAGTTACTAACTGTACTGATGTTATGAGCTTGGTACCCTTCCAGAGACAGAGAGGAGACAAGCTTCTTACCATTCCCCACTGCCCGAAGTCTTTGCACTCAACATAATTGACTTTGGACATGTTGTTCTGTGACCCACAAACACTTTTAATGCAGTCTCCAATAATAAAGTTCATTGTTCCTTCTGTTTGCCAAAATGAGTGGGGTTAAAAATCAAACTTTCCCTGTGGATATCCAAATCGAATTTTGGTCTTCTGCTGATAATCAACTTTTTTTGTTAATGGAAGATATGTTTTTAAGATCTGTGATTATAATAACCTGATTCTAAATAAGGGGGCACAATCATTTCTGTAAGATAAAACTTGGGTTTGTTTTATTTCCTGGCACATAGACAGTGCATTTTTATTAACTTTGCATTCACACACAGTGGAGCTGTTCTTATCAACAGGTTTTGATGGCATTTGGTATTTGTGAAATATCTCAATGATATCCACTTGAAGTTCATACTAAATCTTTTGGATTTCTTTTTTGTGTGTAATTTTCCAAACTTTTGTCCAAGTTGAGATGAACTTTTAGTGTTCTCTTTCTACCTTTGTTTTAAACATCTGTGAGGCTGTATCACACATTGAATCACTGGAAGACAGTGATTGGTATCAGTGCTAAGAACAGTATGAAGTATAATGAACCACAGATCCTCCACCAATGGCTCTCATCCTTGTCTGCACAGTGGAATCGTCCATGGAGTTTAAGAATCAATGACACCAGATTCCAACCCCCAGAGAAAAGTGATAACCACGACCAGGCCAAACACAAAGCTAAATGGCAAGCCCTCTATGTTACACTGTCCACACTGAGAAACAATTATTTTTCAGTCCTCTTTGAGCACAGTTATTCAAGCAGAAAATAACATACTATCGTTCTGCTCACATTTCCCCATTTCATTTAAAAAGCCTTGTGAAATCATGTCCTGCTCTGTGTCATTCTCAGACTTACCAGTCCAGAGACACTGTCCAAAGGGAAGCGATACTAGTTAAGCATATATCTCCATGATATGCCATTTTCTTTTTCAGTTTTACTTCTCCCAAAAGTGCTAGCTACTGACTGAGTACTTAGCTCACATTGAAGCATACAGTCTTACCATTCATGATTAAGAGTGCATTATCTGTATGTCCAGCGAGATGGAAGGGAGGAAAACTAAATTAAGACCTGTTGTCTACACTAAGTAACTTCATATCCTCCTCCTTTTCCCACACTTAAAGCTCTACACAAATGTTAGTTTGCTTATTTTTTTATTATAGGACCAGGAAAATTCTAGTTAGCTTGCATGTCTAGAGAAGAAAGCTAAGCAGAATAAGAGATCTCTAAGCATTAAAAACAGCAGCTAAGGGCCAAACTTCATCTTGTTCTCCAACCACTGGAACCTGTGCTGTGGATTGGAATGTCTGGGTTTGATGGCGCGTGCTCATTTGGAATTAAAGTCAGACATAAACTTCCTGAGCCCCAGAGAAGTAAGCATACTTTGCTAGCACTCAGTCAATATTGTTTTGAATGTATTTCAGGAAGAGCTTGGAGCATTCCCTTCTTTTTCCGTATGCCACTATGGAACAGCAAGGTTTATTGATGGGTTGTTGACACTCTTACTTTGAGAACTAACCTATGCCTGAAAGGAGAGGACAGTTGGGATAACTACAACTAAAATAATTATAGAACAGGGTTTCTTTTTAATCTGAAAAAATATTGCCTGTCAAGAGATAGACAGTTCTTAAGAATCATTGGTTGTCAAGAATTCAGCATAGGAAAATGGGACTTAGCCATAGGAAAACTGAAAGTCTCATTTCAATTGTAATTCAGAAGCTGACAGTTCAAACTAGTGAGTTATGACCCAGAAGACAGCCAAGGGAGAAATTGATTTCACAGCAAACTAAAATTCAAGAAACTCTGACCAGCAAACAGGAGGGAAAGTAAATTTAAAAATGTGGTGACCAGGGACTCACTGTTAGCCAACACTAATTGATATTCCTTTACCCTATGATTATCTTATCATTCCTCAGAGTCCTTCCAGGATGGTTTGGGTATAATCCAGGAATGCCTGTGACTACTGCCCTAATAGGTTCCATACCTATAGTCCCTTGAAACCAAAGTTCATTCTAAAGAGAAAAATCTTGCATTGTGATGGTGTGCATTTGCCCACTGAAATGCCCATTCACATGTTTTATCCTATGGCCTTTGAAATACGTGTTTTTGCCAGTGAGAAATGACATTACCAAGAACATTGGGGTTTTCTTGGTAATTATGATCATTTCTAGCCAGGCGCCAGTGGCTTATGCCTATATTCCTTGCTATTTGGGAGGCTGAGAATGGGAGGATAGAGGTTTAAAGCCAGCATAGACAAATACTTTGTGAGCCTCCCATCTCTAAAAATAACCAGAAAAAAAATGGACTGGAGATGTGGCTCAAATGGTAGAGTACCTGGTTTACAAGCTCCTGCTCTGCAAGCATGAAGTCCTGAGTTCAAACCCTAATCCCACAAAAAAAAGATCATTTCTGACCCTTATTGTCATTTTGACTTATGCTTTTCTAACCTGGTTGCAACATCACTTTAGAAAACCCTTTGCACTATGATAAAAGAATATTCTGAAATATCTTAGATAAACCTCTAAGCAGAGAAAGTTAAATTCATCAAGGCAATCTTGATTTTGTAGTAGGGAAAGCAGAGCTTAAAATTTACTCCAAGAATCAAGCTGACATTTTTGCCACAGCTTTTCTTTTTCTATTACTTTGATTTCTTTCTTTTCTTTTTTGGGGGAGGGGGAGTGGAGAGTAAAGAATTGCCCCATACTCAGATAGCAAAATTCATCAGTGCTTTTTGTCTAGGAGTGACCAGTGTATGTGAGAGGACCAGACAAGTTGCTTCTAGTGTCTCTACCAACATATGAGCTGAAGAGTGAATTCTATTCCCCAGTCTTTCAGTCAGGAATTCGGTGACCTTGCATAGGTTACTTCTTGCTGAGCCTCCATTTTCTTATTGTGCCAGATTAGAATTTGATTAGGCTATCATTTGCCAGTAGATCCCACAAAGCCCTAGAGTTGCATGGACTTCTTTGGGCTTTTTGATGGGGCAAAGAGGGAGGTATCCTAGTAGGGTCCTTGGTTCTACAGAACAGTTCAGTTAATTAGTTTTCTATATTAGGCATCACATGGGATTTACTTAAATAAAAGTCAAAATCTGTGATTCCCTTCCTTTGACTCTGTGTGCTTTGATTATAGACAGGGGTGCAGCTTTCTGTGACAGCAGAAAAGGTCACAGATGGAGTGAGCGCTGTCTTTAAGAGTGCTTTCAGTGAAATGATCTTCAGACGGCAGCCAGAGATACCTGTCTCATCACCTTCGGACTAAATCTATATCGCATAAAATGGAATGATCCCTCTTATCTTACCAAGCAGACATTTGATTGTCATGTAAAACATGCTGCTTGTGAGACTCGGTAACCCCACACTGACAGTGATCTCGGGGAGATGCCAGTGAAGAGCACTGCAGTGATAAAGCTGTTACAGGGATAGGGTCCACACTCTGGGGTGTGATGGAAAAAAATTGTATGTTGTGCACAGAGCCATTTTTACATGTAAATTAGAGCTTGAAACCAATTTATGTAAGTGATAATGCATGTTTCATAGATTATATCACAGTCAGGTTGTTTTAATCCTAATATGGTAATTTGGAAAAGTCCCAAAGAGTCTCTTCCTGTTCTGGTGTTCTGAAATGAGAAATGAACAAATATGTAATGTTCAGTGGTACCTTGAAGCAGAAATTGAGTGTGGGTAAAAGAGAAAAATAGGAAGTTCGGAAGATGATGTACTAAATATAGACAATGGGTTTTTGTGATAATTTTTCTTATTTAAAATTTCTTTATTAAATTTTTGATTAGCATGGAATAATTTTCCATAGTAATGGAATACAGTGTGATACATAGGCATATAGTGTGCACTGATCAAATCAGGGTCACTAGCAATTCAGGACCAGAGAAATGGGACAGAAACATAATAGAACTGAGGATCCATGTCTCCTTGATCTTACAGATTTTCTAGCCTTTACATTTAGTTCTCTTTCTCTTCATTCTACTAGCCACCTTCTCTCCCATTGTCCTTTGGCCCCTGTCCTTTCATTACTTTCTTGTACCCGCTCAGTTTCTCATAGTGTCTCTTCTTTACCTCCTGCACCACTTGGATTTCCTGCCTTCTTAAAAAAAAATCTATATGCTTATCCCAACTCCCACTTCCAAATTCCCTGTAATTCCAAACCTTGAGTACTATTGGAGTGTCCAAGGTTGCTGCATGAATACTACTATCTTGCTCCACATTTCTTAACAAGAGATTAGAATGAGTACATGAATTGTCAGTCACCTGGTACTTATTTTATGATATTGGCCAGTACTTTGTGCCTAAAAAAGTACTCTAAAGAAGGCTAGCACCTAGTTAATCACCTAGTCAGTCAATACTACCTAATTACATAATTTAATACCAACCTGTAATGGCCTAGATCTATAAATTAAATTTAAATGGTGTTTTTAAGGATTAAGCAACAAAATAACAAAGCCCCCTCCATAATTAGGTGACAGATGAGAACTTCTATGCAAGACAAATAAGAGGTTAAAAGTGGACCACACTAAACTGTTAAGTTGAATCATGTAGAGAATATAGTCTCATTTATAATGTAGTGATTTCTTTTTGCAGATTGGGCCCCATTTACTCTAAGAAAAAAGAAATGTCAGGACCTTTCATGAAACCCATAAACACATTAGAAGCAGCTATACATTCTGACCTTTAAACCTCTGAAATCCTAGGTCATGAGTAAACTGTCCCAGGGTGTCAAGTCATTTGTTGCCAAATCTTGCTAAGCAAACACTCAGTGAGTTGGAAATTCTAAAATGAGAAAGGAACAAGGAATATCAGTAGATTACAGAAAAGAACCAGAGAATACAGGCTGCAAAAAAATATGCAACACACACAGGAATACAGTACAAAACCTCCCTAACTGGGGATCCACCGTTTATTTCCCATTTCCAAGCTGGTGGAAAATGATTGACGGCAAAAAGGCCCCATTCCTCTGTAGAGGTGGAGGTTGATCAAGTGAGGCAGTCGTTCATGCATAGTGTACCTTATTTCTTGACTGCCTTTTTCTGTTCTGCTAGGAGAACTCTTCCCAGAGACTGGGAAGACAGGTGGTATTGTGCTACAGTCAAAGCATGGGCTCTGGACTCCTACTGTCTGAATTCGAATATTCAATCCTTAATTACCATTGCATGACATTGAACAGTTACTGTTCTTAATCCCACAGAACTGTTTCTTTACCTGTCAATTGAGGATCATAGTAGTCTACCTCAGGAAATGTTTCTGTAGATTATATGAGCTAGTAATAATCATTCAATAAGTTTTATATATTAATACTTCCCATGAACATATTTATACAGATATTGAGATATAGATAAATAGCCCTCTTGCTCTTATAGTTCAGTTACATTGTATGTTCAATAGATTTTTGTGGACTAGGCCTGGAGCCCATTCACCATGTATGACACAATCTTCATGGGAAATGCATGTTGAGTCCCAAATTCTCAGTTTACAAAAAGACTTTTTTAACCACACTCATCCTCTCTGTAAAGTGTGTCTTTATATTGGTGCTGAGGGCTGTCATAGTTGCTCACACATTTCCATGTAAGTTCCCTGGTTTATTTTTTGATGTCTTAAGATAAACTTTGTAAACTGTTATAATGAACTGAAGTCACAAACTGAAGTGAAGCTTTTTCATTAAATCATCCTGTTGCAAAACTGACTTAATGAAGATTTATTGGGTACATATGGATTGTTTTGGGGACTCTTGGAGAGATGTGGTAACTTCTATGATGCTTTGATCTTTCTTTTTAAAATATTATTTATGTTTTTATTTTTTATTTTTGTCTCTATTCATATATTCATATGTACATACATTGTTTCAGTCATTTCTCCCCACTACCCCCTACCCCCTCTCTCTCCCCCCCACCCTCTGGCTTCCAGGCAGAACCTGTTCTGCCCTTTTGTCCAGTCTTGTTGAAGAGATGACATAAGCAATAATAAGAAAGACAAAGCGTTTTTGCTAGTTGAGATAAGGATAGCTATACAGAGAGATTCCTAGCATTGCTTCCATGCACAAGTG